AGAGCAGCTTCCACGGAAGGGTAGGGGCAAAGTGGGTCCTGGCAGGTGTAGGAGAGAAGGGAGAAAAGAGACAAAACAGGCAGCTGGCAGGTTTTGCTGTAAGAAAAGCAAATAAACAGGAAATCACTGAGAGGGAAAGTAGTCACAAGGTTTTGGAGGGTTTTAAAGGCAAATTATTTTATACTATCATGTGACAAGGTTTTTTTATTGAGATAAAATATATATAATGTGAAACAGCCCCTGAGAGGTTGAAATGGCCCCTGTGAGGATGTGACAGCCCCTGTGAGGTTGCGACGGCCCCTGTGAGGCTGAGACGGACCCTGTGAGGCTGAGACAGACCCTGTGAGGCTGCGACAGCCCCTGTGAGGTTGCAAGGGCCCCTGTGAGGCTGAGACGGACCCTGTAAGGCTGAGACAAACCCTGCGAGGCTGCGCCGGCCCCTGGGAAGCCAAGAAAAATACCACATGATCTCACTCATTTATGGATAATAAAGACCATTATAAACTGATGAACAAAAATAGATACAGAGGCAGAGCAGCATTGAACAGACTGTCAAACTACAGTGGGAAGCCTGGGGAGGGTTGGGGGGGTAAGAGATCAACCGAAGGACTTGTATGCATGCATATAAGCATAACCAATGGACACAAGACACTGGTGGGTAGGGGAGACCAGGGGAATGTCAAGTGGGGGGAAAGGAGACATATGTAATACTCTTTGTAATACTTTAAGAAATAAAACAAAATTAAATTTAATATATATATATATATATATATATATATATATATATAATATAAAACTTAACACTTTAATCATTTTAAAGTGGCAATTCAGCGGCATTAAGTACATTCACAGTGTTGTGCCACTATCATCACCATCCATCTCCAGAACTTTCTCATCATGCCAACCAGGAAATTCTGTCCCCATTGAACACTAACTCCCCTCTTCCCTCCCCCGCCCTTGATAACCTGTAATCTACTTTCTGTCTCTATGCGTTCGATGGCTCTGGGTACATCATATAAATGGAACTGTACAGTATTTGTCCTTTTGTGACTTCACTTAGCCTGTGTCAGAATTTTCTTCCTTTTTAAAGTGGAAAATATTCCACTGAATGTTCATATCACATGGTCATCCATTCACCAATCAGCCACTTGGGTTGCTCCTATGTGCTGGCTATTGTGAATATGCTGCTATGAATATGGTGTACAAATATCTCTTTGAGACCCTGCTTTCATTTCTTCTGGGTTTATACCCAAAAGTGGAATTGCTGGGTCATATGTTAATTCTATCTTTAATTTTTTGAGGAAAAATTTTACAGTGGCTGCACCATTTTCCATTCCCACCAGCAGTGCACAGTTTCACCAGAACTTTTGTTTTTTTTAAAAAAAGAATAGCCATCCTGCCCTACCCGGTTTGGCTCAGTGGATAGAGCGTCGACCTGCAGACTAAATGGTCCCAGGTTCAATTCTGGTAAAGGGCACATGCCTGGATTGCAGGCTCGATCCCCAGGGGGGGTATGCAGGAGGCAGCCGATCAATGATTCTCTCTCATCATTGATGTTTCTATATCTCTCTCCCTCTCCCTTCCTCTTGTAAATTAATAAAAATATATTTAAAAATAAAATAAAATAATAGCCACCCTAATGGATGTAAAGTGATGTCTCATTGTAGTTTGGATTTGCGTGTCCCTAATTAGTGATGTTGAGCACCTTTTCATGTGCTTATTGTCCACTTGTATGTCTTCTTTGAGGAAACATCTATTTAAGTCCTTTGCACATTTAAAAATTGTGTTGTTTTGTTGACTTTTATTCTGGATATTAACCCCTTATAAGATACATGATTCACAAATATTTTCTCCCAGCTCATGGGTTGTCTTTTCACTGTGTTGATAATACAGTAGCCCCACCCCCTTATCCACGGGGATACATTCCAAGACCCACAGTGGATGCCTGAACCCTCTGATGGTACCAAGCCCTATATGTACTGTTTTTTCCTACACACACACACACCTTTTCACCTGGAGGGAGCACTTTACGGCTTCTCTGTGGAAGATCTGAGTGGCAGCATCGCGACTCTCGCTCTTTGGGGCCGTTACCAAGTAAAATAAGGGTGACTGGACACAACCCTGCAACACCACAACAGCCCACCTGGGACTGAGACGGCAGTAAGTGACTAATGGACGAGTGGGACAGTGCAGGGTTTCATCACACTGCTCAGAATGGCACACAATTTACAACTCGTGAATGGCTTATTTCTGGAATTTTCTATTTAATATGCATTTTCGGACTAAGATTATCCAAGGTAACTGAAACCACAGGTAAGGCGGTACTGCTGCATCTTTCGATGTGTTAAGCCCAGATTTCAGGATCCCCAATAGACCACCAGGGAGCCAGCCGAGTCCGATGCAAAAGCAGAGAGTCTTTATTCAAGCTAGCTTGGGCTCCCCGTCAGCCACACTCGCCGACGCAGCGGCAAGCCGAGAGAGCGCGAGAGCCCTGTGGGAAGAGGGGCTTTATGGGGGGTTGGAGTAAGGGGAGGAGAGATGACTGTGGGCCCTGCTGATTGGCCAGGTGCAAGTCGGGGTCTGTTACACAGGATGTGGTTGTGTCTATGGCGTGCACGTCCCTTGATTGTCATTGGTTAGTTTAAAGAAATCCTGGGTGTGGCTAGCAGAGGCTTGGGCTTCCGGGAAGAAGCTCCTTGCCGAGCACATGGCTAAGGCTACTGCCCAAAAATGGAGGATTCAGGGTAAGATGGAGGGCGTAGCCCTCGCCCTTTCAGATGCACAGATCAAATGCAGCCTCTCCAGACGTCTGTACGCTCCCGCCCAGGCTCCTCGGGCAGCATGAACAGACAAGGTTCATAGCTGGCTTCCAAAGTTTGGGATGGGAGGACCCAGGCCCTCTAAACAGGAAAGCAGGTGACTGAGAAAGCTGGATATGCTGGTAACCCCCTTAACTCTTGAAGTGGGCGTGACCCCACATTACCTGTGAAGCCCCTGGGGACTGCTACTGAATCAAACACAAGAGCAGAGAGGCCAGAACCTGGGAAGGCGAGTCATATGCCTCAAACAAACACTGGGAGTGAACACACTTCTGTGGGCACAAGTGTGGCAACAGATGAAGCTCGGGAATCCAAGTCACGTACAATTTGGTGGCAGAGAGGAGTTAGAGACCCACTGCTGGACCAGGGCTCTTAGAGGCCTCCACACTTGCATGGATGTCCCTAGATCCCAAAGCACTTTCATATTATCTTTAAACCTTATAGAAACCTTATATGTAAACATTCCTATCCACACTCCACCAGTTACCTTAGCGTCCACTGAACTTGGAATTGAAAACTCTGCTTTGAATCTCAGCCCCCTGATTGAATGAATAGCTGAGCCACCACACAGGCACTTTTGCAAGGCTTGTCACCTCCGTTTGTAAAATGTGTGTGAGAAGGCAAACTCAAAGACTACAAAAGCCCCTACTTAGCTGAGCCTGGTAGGAGCCCTCTACCTGGCTTGCAGACTGCCACCTTCTTGGAGGGGGAGAGAGAGAGAGAGAGAGAGAGAGAGAGAGAGAGAGAGAGAGAGAGAGAGGACTCTCTGGCATCTTTTATAAGGGTACTGATCCCATTATGAGAACTCAACCACACTAAGTACCCCCATCTTGGACTTACAACCTCCAAAACTGAGAAATTTTCTGTTGTTTAAGCCACCCAATGCATGGTATTTTGTTATGTTGGCGTGAGCAGACTAAGATAACCCCTAAACACCACAGCATGCATCTACTAATAATAAAAACATTCTCCTACATCAGTGGTCGGCAAACTGCGGCTCGTGAGCCACATGCGGTTCTTTGGCCCCTTGAGTGTGGCTCTTCCACAAATACCACATGTGGGCGTGCACGTACAGTGCGATTGAAACTTCGTGGCCCATGTGCAGAAGTCAGTATTTTGTGGAAGAGCCACACTCAAGGGGCCAAAGAGCCACATGTGGCTCGCGAGCCAGTTTGCCGAACACTGTCCTACATCATCACACCAGGAAAATTAGCAGTTACTCCATAATATCCAATATCCTATCCAAAGTTAAAGTTTCCCTAACTGTCCCAGCTGCTTTTAAAATTTTCAACCAGAATCTAGGCAAGGTTCACACATTATATTTAACACTAGAGGCCTGGTGCACAAAACTCGTGCATGGGTAGGGTCCCTAGGCCTGGCTGGCAATCAGGGACCAAAGGGGGTGGGCTGGCAGGGTGATGGGGGCCCCCACTGGCACTCGCCTTGCTTGGCTGGCCTGGCACTGCCCACTCACCAGCCCCAACCCCAACCACTGCCGGTTGGGGCCTGAGGGCTGGGGGAAGCTCCTGCATTGAGTGTCTGCCCCCTGGTGGTCAGTGCGCATCATAGCAACCTGTCTCCCCCCTCCCTTGTTCCCCAGTTCGGTGGATTTGCATATTAGGCTTTTATTATATAGGCTATTTTAATCTAGAACAGTCCCCCTTCCTTTCCCCAGTCATTTATAATTTTGAAGACCTCAGGCCACTTGTTTTACAAAATGTACCACTTTGTAGATGTGTCTTATGTTTCCTTGTGTCTAAATTCAAATACAATATTTTTTTTGCAAGAATTCCACATAGGAAATGTTGTCTACTTCATACTGCGTCATATCAGGAAGTATCTGATGGTAGAGAGGAAGGCTAAGGTGAGCACGTGGTTAATGTGGCAAGGGGGACCCACTGTTAACTTCGACATAGAATAAGACCTCGGCTCCTTTACTTTACATCCGTTTAGAGTTCATCACCGAAGATTCCCTCTGTCTCCCATGCCCGACCCCTGCCCACCTTAGCCCTGGTCCAGTGTGGCATGCCCGTCTCTGCCCGCCTAGCCGGTCCCAGCCATCCCAGCGGGCGCCCAGCCCAGAGGGCGGAACCAATCATGTGAGGCACTCCGCTCCGCGTCGCCCGCCGGACCCGGAATAGCCAAGCGCCGGCGCCGGAGGAAGCTGTAATCCGTGGGCTTCCGGGCACACGCTGCGCGGCCGCCACAGGCGGGGGTTCTGGAGCCGCCGCCGAGTCGGGGCGCCCTGAGCAGAGCGCGGCCATGGGGATCCTGGAGAAGATCTCCGAGATCGAGAAGGAGATCGCTCGGACGCAGAAGAACAAGGGTGAGCGTGGCCCCGGGCCCTCTGCCCCCGTCTTCCTGCCTGTGAGATGGGGAGCCGCCCGCGCGGCGCTGGGCCGGCCGAAGGCCGCGGGAAGCGCCCGTCGGTGCGAGGCAGGCAGGGCCGGCGGGATCCGGGCCCCACGCCGGCTGACGGCGAACGACCCCGAGAGAGGGGCCAGGGCCAGGCCGGGTGGTGCCGGAGGAGAGGCCGAGGAGAAACCGCAGCCCCAGCGCAGGCATCTGGCCCCGAGAGAAGCAGGGCCGCGCTCCCCTTTGTGCTGGGAAGGCCGGGGGAGGCCTCTCCCGGGAGACTCACCCGGCAGCCCCTGGGGAGGCCCGGGGGGAGTAGGGGAGGCCGTCCGGACTCCGGGATCGCGCGGACCTGATCCGAACCCTGGCCCCACCCCTCCCGGGCTGTGAAACCTTGGACAGGCCCTTCACCTCTTCTGGCTGCAGGGCCTCCTCTGCTCCCGGGGATGTAACCCTCCGCCACCGGTTCGCTCGCGGCTCAGTCACACTGACAGCGAGCGCCCAGTATCTAAAGTAAACCTCCCCACGTGGCGAAGGCACGTGCAGCATCACCTCTGGGCTTCAGATGGTAAGGGCGGAGGAGCTCAGAGAAGACAAGCATGGTGACCCCCAGACGGCTTCCAGGAGGAGGTGGGACTAGAGCTGGTGGAGGGAAGGGTGTTCCAGGTGGGGGCAAAGGCAAGGGAGACTCGGTGAGCGCGCTGTATTCATGGGACAGGAGGAGAACAGTCTAGATCAGAAGGAGGGTCTGGAATAATGGGGGACACGATTTCTTTCTGCAAATCTTTACTGAGCCCTCGCTGTGTGGTCACATCCCTGCCCTCGCGGAGCTGACCTTCCAGTGGGCAGCCTGTACATCAGTAACTAAATAAGACAGTTTCAGCAGTAAATTCTGTGAAGACAAACCAGAGTGTTAGGGGTGGGGACTGATCAGAACAGACCACCAGGAGGAGGGAGCATTTGAGCTGAGACCAGCATTTTTGCATCGGAGGGACAGTTGGTGCAGAGGCCCCCTGGCAGGAAACTCGGTGTGTTTAAGGGCCAGGAGATCTGGGCCTGGAGTGCAGTGACGGGAAAGGAGGGACCAGTCACGCAGCACGGGTAGGTCCTGGGCCAAGTCTGACGTGTGAGGGCAGTGGGAGCTAGTGGAGGGTGTGAAGCAGGAGAGATGTAGTCTGGTTTGTTTTAAAAGCTCCTCTCTGGTTCCCCCGTGGAGTATCGTCTGTGGGATGCCAAGTAGCAGGGAGGCTTAGGGGAGGCGGGAGACGCTCCCACTTGAGAGCAGCGGAGGAGGGAGAGTGAAGGGGACTTAGATCTAGTCCTTCCTTTCAGGGATGCTCAGATCTGATGGCTGGGATGACAGGAAGGACCATGTCAACCTGGCTGCTGCTGAACCCATTCTTGACCATTTCTCACCGTCTGCTTATTGAAACATTTCCTGAGCACTTGCCCTGTACATACCCTGAGTGAGAAGCGGAGGGTACAACGACGGCAGTCCCAGTCCCTGCCCTATTAGAGGGAGGGAACTAAAGAAGCAAGACAGTTCTGAATGGTGATAAGAGCCATGCAGACAATAATCAGGACCGAGGCAGAGAGGGACTAGAGAGAGATGGGGTTACTGTAGATAGTAATAATCACCAACTTTTATTGGGTGCTTACTATGTGCTAGACATGTTCTTAGTGCTTCCTTTAAGCCTTCTAGAAATCCAGTGAAGTAGTTATTGTTATAACATCCCTATTTTGCAGGTTAAGAAACTAATGCACAAGAAGATTAAGTAATTTACCCAAAGCAAAATGGCCAGGGTGGGCCTCTGGATGACACTGTCCCCCAAAACTGGTAGGGAGACTTCCTTGAAGAGGTGACATTTGAGTTTGCCTTGAATGTTGAGAAGGAGCAAGCCCTGGGAAGATAAAGTTTAAATGGAAGGAACAGCAGCTGCAAAGGCCCAGAGGCAGGAATGGGGTCGGCATATGCTGAGAAAGCCGCTGTGGCTGGAATGGAGGAAATAGAAGAGGAGTGGTAAGAGATGTTGTTGAAGTAGCCGCGGACCAGGTCCCCTAGGGCCCTGCTGCCAATGTCAGCCCAGCCTCCGTTTAGAGCAAAGACTTTGTAATACCCTCTTTACTGTTCTGGAGTGTGATTCCCCATCAATAGTATAACTTTTGTACACAAAAAATTTGAAAAATGTCAATATAATGCCCTAATAGTAATATAAAGGAGGGGGAAAAGGGAAGTAGTTTCTAATAAAAATACTGTGTGTTTCAATATGCAAATGTTGGGCCACAGCCAAGTTATAAGGAAGTGATAGTGCAGCAGTGAGGTGCTTGTGTCTCTGAGTAGCATAGGGTGCGGCTGGCACAATGCAGGCCGCGCAGGTGCATTGTTGGTGCCTCCCGCAAGCGGCTTCACTATTGGTGGCATAGGCTCCCAAGATGGTGAGCAGCTCTAGGCAAAGTTTCAAACAAAACATGGTGTAGTCTTCCTTGAACATGCACAGGCGTTGCATTCCTGGAAATTTCAGCATTTATTCACAGTGCAGAAAGTCCCTGTGTGTATGTGTGAAGCAGTTAGATTTCAGGCCCCTGTCATCCTAGCCAGGTTTTTTCTTTGGATGTCTTTGGGACATGAAAAGTCACGTGGGACACAGGACAGTTCTTGACTGTGCTAGACTGACTCACACCTGGTAGGGCAGTGATTGGCTTCATCAGAATAATAATGGAAAACAACCCTAGGAATTTCTAGAAAGCCCTCAGGGAGTGTTGCTGGATCCACTCAGAACCACTGGCATAGGGTCAATAAGGAGACTCGCTTTTATTATAAACTAGCTGTACCGGCCACGCGTTGCTGTGGCTCAGTCTGGTTAAATGGAAAAGAAAGAAAAGAAAAAGCGCATGTTTCTAATATGTTTAATTTCACAATGCTTGTGGGTATACAGTATTTTTTGTTGTTCCATTGTCTGCAGATATAGAGATTGTCTGGTTTGTCGACTCTAGAACACGCAACATATAATTGTCCATGTGAGAAGCAATCCGCGTCTAGATCTAAACCGCACAATTCTAAAGATTGGCCCTGAGCTTTGTTGATGGTGATTGCAAACGCCAATCGAATTGGGAATTGCAATCTCTTAAAGTGAAATGGCATATCCGTTGGAATCATAGGAATGCGAGGAATGAGGACATCTTCACCTCTGAAAGGTCCTGTCAAGATGGTTGCTTCTACGACATTGCTCATTCATTTTTTTACTGCAAGCCGCGTGCCTGTCAAAGCTTTGGCTGTTTGACATTTCGCAACATGGCAATTGGCACGCCGATTTTCAATTACAGTACGTGCGGTGGCATCCCTGGCAGATCGAGTGAATTAAGAAATTCTGCTGGATACTTAACTGCTTCATCTGCTTCCACAACAGTGTCGACGGACTTGTATGTGACTGCCTCGCTTTGAATGTTAGACTGAATGATGTTCTTAAGTCCGTAGGCGTCTTTGTTCTTGGCCGCAAGAATAGCTCGTTCACTCAGCCAATCGTGATTCTTTTTTTTTCTTTTTTTAATATATTTTATTGATTTTTTACAGAGAGGAAGGGAGAGGGATAGGGAGTTAGAAACTGGAACACTTGTTCCAGATGGATACAAATCAGTTGCCTCCTGCACACCTCCCACTGGGGATGTGCCCACAACCAAGGTACATGCCCTTGACCGGAATCGAACCTGGGACCTTTCAGTCCACAGGCCGGCAGTCTATCCACTGAGCCAAACCGGTTAGGGCCCAATCGTGATTCTTATAATTGGTTTGAATATTGGGAAATACTTTTTCAACCAATTCTTCTTTTGACGTCGCTAAATTGCAGAAGTTATGAGGCAATGAAATGCGTCCTGAGGTCAGATCAACCGGCACCTTTTCGTTCCCAATTCCCAGCAATTGATGTGAGAATGTCTCAGCTGATCGATCGTTTTGCAGCTGGACACGCATATTTGTGGTTAATTTTATCTACAATTTATAATTGTAAACAGAAACATTGAAATGGAATCCTAAAATATTTAGTATAGCGTGTGTTGCTTTTACGTCCAACAGATGGCGCTGTTTTTCAAAAAGAGCATGTTTTTACCTGTCACAGGTGTGACATCTATATAATAGTAGGTATATAGGTATATAAAAACACGCACATATTCGAATGCAACGTTGTATCAAAATTTCAAAGCAATAGGTGAAGAACTTTCAGAAATTTAAGATTTTGAACAAACGAACATTTACATTTTTATTTATATAGACTAGAAGCCCGGTGCACGACATTCATGCACTGGCGGAGTCCCTCAGCCCAGCCTGCACCCTCTCGCAGTCTGGGACCCCCGAGGGGTCCTTCGTGCTCCTGCGAAGGCAGGAAAGACTCATGCCACTGCTGCTGTACTCACCAGCTATGAACCTGGCTTTTGGCTGAGCAGCGCTCCCCCTGTGGGAATGCACTGACCACCAGGGGGCAGCTCCTGCGTTGAGCATCTGCCCCCTGGTGGTCAGTGCATGTCATAGCGACTGGTCATTCTGCTGTTCGGTCGATTTGCATATTAGGGTTTTATTATATAAGGCTAGTGGCCCGGTGCATGGATTCATGCACATTGAAAGGAAATTAATTAGAAGAAATATTTTAATATCGCTATTTGCCCTTTCTCTATAATAGAAGTGTCAACCAAATTCATGATCGACAGTGACAGATCGAAACGCTTGCGATTGGCACCAGCAAGAGCTTTATATGTATCACACACGTGCAAGTCAACTTGGCCTTTTATAGATATAGAACAAACTTGCTTAATTAGACCTGCTTTCTGGTGTAGCTAAACTTTTTCCAGCCCAGTGAAGCAGCCCAACTTCTCTTTCAGGTAATTGTCAGCAACACAGCAGTAAATATCAACACAAAGCAGATTATTATTGTAGATCACGCAGGGAGAACAAAGGGTAAAATATTTAACTGCAGCAGTGTTTGACTATATTCTGCGCAGTGAGAAAACCTGAAGTCATTTTCAGGGTCCACCATTTCTTACTTTTCAGTCAGGTCAAGTTTCTAAACTTTCTAAGTCTCCGTTTTTCGGCTAATGAAAAGAAAATAGGATTCTACCGAGTCTCCTACCTACCTACTCCAGGACTTCTGTGAGGATCAAATGAGATGAGGCACATGAAAATGCTTCACAAACATTTGGTTAAACTCTGAAAGGTTTGCACCTGGCTATAAAGCAAGTTGTGTTCCTGGGCTGAGAAATTCCAAGAAAGCTAGCCGCTAGGGAGAGGAAGCAGGGTGTTGCTATGTGACTTCATTACCCGGCGCCCACAGTGACCGTTTCCGGGCTGGGCAGTGGGCCGCATTTTACGCCACGGGGTCTTGGCAGCATTGGCTGTGACTTGGTGGGGTGTCGCTCAGGGGTGGTGGCGGGGCCTGTGTCCGTCCCACTTGGAGGAAGCTGAGTTTGGTCTGACGGCACCAAGTCTTCGGTGCTATTTATTTTTAAATGGCCAATGTGCGTCACTGCAGCTCCTGAGTTGAGTGTCTGCCCCCTGGTGGTCAGTACACATCATAGCTACCAGTCGGATAGTCACTTAGCCTTGTATATACACAGATGAAGTGAGCAGCCAAGGGGGCATTTTCAGCAGAGGGATGGTATTTTTCTCTCCTGATCTTCACAGTGGTTGCCATTGGGTCTGACATTCTGGCTAGCACTTGGTGGTGTGTGAGGCCCCATCTAACTCACAGGGCTTGGATACTTTAGACATTTACCTTCTGTCTTGCTTTTTGTCCTTTAGCCACCGAATATCACCTGGGCTTGCTGAAAGCAAAACTGGCCAAGTATCGGGCCCAGCTCCTAGAACCCTCCAAATCGGCCTCATCCAAAGGAGAGGGCTTCGATGTCATGAAGTCGGGTGACGCCCGTGTGGCACTGATTGGATTTCCCTCTGTGGGTAAGGTCAGTGATGGTCATGGTGGGCCTTGGGGAGGAAGGCAGATTGTCTCCTGTCAGAGTGACTGCGGCTCTTCTCCCTGCCCCTCTGGATTAGCTCCAGGGACAAGAAGACCCAGCCTCCCCCAGGATCAGGCCCCACCCCTGTATCATCCTAACATGGAGAACTTTCTTTCTGCTTTAGCAGAAATAGCTCCATTCTGTCTCTGACTCATCCATTGTGCACATTCATTGAGTGTGCACCACGTGCCAGCTGCTGAAGATACAGTAGAGAGTGAGAGAGTTCTGTCCCTGCCCACGCAGACCTCCCCTCTCGGGGGAGAAAAGACAGCTAATGGCGGGTGGGGACTGTGGTCCCGCCATTTACTGGTTGGGATCGGGGAAAAGCTGCCCTGGTGAGCAGAGATTGGAGCAGAGGCCTGAAGGTTGTGTGGAAGCTTGCAGGGCCCTGGGAAGGAACACCCCAGACAGAGGGAGCAGTGGGTGCAAAGGCCCGTAGGTGGGGGCTTGCTTGTTGTGTTTAAGGGAGCCAGGCAGCCGGGTCTGAGTGAGCAGCAGTGGGAGACAAATTGCAGAGGGTGGATGACTTTGGAGCCGTCATACAACTCTGTGCTTGAGTGAAATAGGGTGAAGCAGGAGCCACTGCAGAGTTTTTTAAGTTTCTTCTGTAAGCTTCTTAGTTTAGTGTGAAATTCATACTTAACATTTAAGTGTGGAGTAATATAAACCTCATGGAAGGGTTTTGAGCAGAAAGGGACTGAGCTGCCCAGCTTTTTAAGAGTCAAGGATTTACAAAGAAGCTGCCAAGTCAGCACAGCGTTCCTTCCTGCCCCACACCCGGCTGCCACAGAGTTCTGTTGTCCTGCCCGGGAGCCCATGTTGCATTCAGTGATCCTGTCCTCTCAGCTCTCCTTAGACTGGCCTTGATTGGATGACTGGCCGTCTTGAGGAGTGCTAGTGGGGTATTGTAGAAAGTCCCTCCACTGACCTTTTCTCATGCTTAGACGGTTATGGGTTTGGGAGGAATGCCACAGGAGTGAAGTGCCATTTTTCTCACATCATCAGTTGATGTTGACCTTGACCACCTGGGGAGGGCGAGTTTGTCAGGTTTCTCCTCCTTGAATTCATGGTTTTTCTCATGTTCTCGTGTCCTCTTAGAAGGGATGGTACTGTGTGCAGTCCACTAGGGGGAGGAGTTAGCTCCACCTTTTTGAGGGGGCGTAGCTACACAAATTATTCAGAGTTCATACGTGAGATTTGTCCCTTCTCTCCCATTTTATTTAATCATTTATTTATATCAGTGTGGACTCCTGGGCATTTGTTGTATACTTGGGTTCTACTGTTACTCAGATTCGTCTAGTTTTGGGGCTTTTTCAGTTGGCTCTTTAACAAACTGTTGTGTTTACTCAGCACTTCCGTACTTCTGATAGTACAAAATGCTTCAGGCTCATCTTGTATATCCCCTCTCTCTCAGCTGCTGCCTGGAATGCCGTGTTGTGGTCATGTGATCACCAACAGCCACCCTTCCCCTCCACCCCCACGGTGGTGGCCAGGCCGCCCAGGCTTTTGTTGCAGCCCACGGTGCTGTGGTGAATGCTCTTTGCTCGCCGCTTTGCCTCTGGAACTGGTGTTTCTGCAGGAAGCGTTCCTAGGCATAGGCACAGCAGCTCCGGCTTCAGGGTTTTTAACCCTTTTCGGTCCAACGTGGAAGCTGACTCAACAGACCAGGCGCTATGGAGCAGGTCCAACGTCGAGGCTGAGACACCGCAAACCGGTTCAACATTCAATCCTGTCAATTAATTTGGACCAGACTGTTTGAATTCCAAAAGTAAAATTGGACCGCAAAGGTTTAAAGCAGCCATCAGCCTGGCCAATTATGCACCAAAGAAACTCCAGCTGACTCCATCTGGGGACCGATGGGAGTGTTTTCTAGGCTTTCTGGTGCACCCACTATCCACAGTGCTGGGTCTGAGCTGGGATGTGCGTGCTGGCGCAGGTGCAGCTGGACTGAGACCAGGCTCTGCTGCAGAATCTGCAGAAGGATTCCTTCCTGGTGCATCTAAGTGCTTTTTAGTCTTCAGGCACATACCCCAGTTGGATTTTACTGTCATTTTCTCCTTGTCCTCCAATGGTGTGGGCTCAGGAAATGCAGAGCCATTTTAGTAACCATCTGAATCAGGTAGAAGGGACTGGAAGCTTCTATCTGCAGCTCCTATTCCTTCAAGCCTTTGGCAGTTCATCCCTCCCATAAAATCTGAGCAGCCTGTTGCATGCAGCTTTCCAGCCTGTGCTCAAATTCCTTTAGTGGTTGGGTGCTTATGACTCCCCAACTTCACAAAAGCCAGACACAGCCGCTCAGGGGCCTCCTGCTCCAGCCCCTCGGAAGGAGCAGACCTCTGCTGCAGGAGCCCCTCCTGCCCAAGGGGTGGGACTGCCCCCAAGTGTGCTCTCTGCCAGCCCAATACCCTCACAGTCTTCAATCCTGGCATGGTCCAGGTCCCTGTCGTTTTTATTCTTTCTCATTTTCCCCAATTCTATATAACAAAAATTTCAAACAGGCATAAGAGTTGAAAAACAAGTACAATCTGCCCTCTATCTGGATGCATCACCGACTGGCATTTTGCCATATTGCTCTATCACTGTGTGTTGTGGGGGGTGGTGTTTTTGTTTTGACTGAACCATTTGGGAGTAAATGACAGGTGTCATGCTTTATGGCCCTCCACCTCCAAATATTTAAGCTTGTATCTCCAACGAATAAGAAAAATGTCCTGCTTAGCTGCAATTTGGCATAGCATACCAAACAAAATTAAGAGTCACCAATGATCATCTAGTGCCCAGACTATATGCTAGTCAGTAGTTACCCCAAAATGACCTTTGCAACTGGTCTTTCCAAACTAGGATCCACTCTGGCCACATGCAGCCCCGTGTGTTGTTGCGAAGGCTGCTTTAACCTAGACAGCCCCTTTTGTCATGACCCTGCCTCGCTGAAGAGACCAGGCCTGTTGTCCAACGGAACGTTTGTGTGCCGAGGTCTGCTTGCCTCCTCGAGGTGTGCTGCAGCTTGTCCGACTCTGTGCTCTTTCCCGGGAGCTGGGGGCCGGACTGTGTTGGCCAGGTTCACGAGTGACTGATGGACATGGCAGAAAACCTCCGAGGACTTGCTGCGTTTCCAGGGCCGCCGCGCTAAGGGGAGCGCACCCTGTGTCCCCCTGCGTGCAGCTGTGTTTCCCCCACACCAGAACACTGGAAAGTCACCTGCAGGGGCTGCTGGGCGGCTCGCAGAAATCAGGCCTATCAACAGCCTTTCAGTGGCTTGGGCCCAGTGACCTGTCCTTGCCTGGGTTTTATTAGTGTTTGTAACGTAGCTCTTTTTAGTTCTCTTACTCCTTTCTCACTTGGTAGCTGATGTGCCTTGTAAAGTAGCAGCTCTGTCCTCCATGTGGGCAGCTTGGTTCCTCTGAAAGAGTTTCACCTGGAAAGGCAGGACAGATGCTGAGCTCACAGCTGTCCCACAGGTGACAAGTGAGGGTTTCCATGCTTCAGCTCTTCAGGTGTTATTATGGGCTCATGAATTTTAGTCTTTTCTTTTGATTTTACTTTCCATCCTACCAAAGACTTCCTTTCCAGGTGAGAAGCACAGGCTGAGAGAAGCTGCTCTAGTCTCCCAGGTCCGTGCCTCTGGGAGTCTGGGGCCTGTGGCCAGACCCTGCCGCCCTGTTGGGAATCCAGGCTCTCTGGCCATAGGCCCAAGCCTCTCTGGCAGAGGCCAAACTGGATTGGGGGCGGGGGGGTCCCCCCAGCACCATTCAGTGTCTCGGGGCCATTGCTCTACTCTCCCACTCCCCACCTTCAGGAAGTCCCCAGGGCAGAGAGTTTCAGGATTTGAGGCCTGTGTTTCCTTCACATGCCCCATTCTAGGTTTCATTCTGAGGGTGTGTGAGAGAGGTGTGCCCCCAGCCTCCTGCCTGCCAGCGAGGGGCAGAGTCCTGAAGGCACCAGCTCCAGATCTAGGCAGCACTATCCCAGTCGGAACTGCGCCTCAGGCTTGTTTCAGGTGCTGTGCTGACCAGATGGGCGCCTGAGGCCAGGGCTGGACTTTTCCTGGTGCTGCCCACTGCTGTGCTTGCGCTCTGGGCCTCAGCGTCCAGCACTGGTCTTGCTGTGCCCTGGACTCAGTATACCACGTGCCTTATCATCTCTATGAATCCCTGTGCAGTCCCTCAGGAAAGAGGTGGAATGGATGCCCACTCTGCATAGGAGGACACTGAAGCTCAGAGGATGTAGTTTCTTGCCCAGGGTCCCCCAGCAGAGGCGGGGTCCAAGGCCTCTGTCGCCGAGCCCAGCCGCAGCCCATTCCAAAGCGGACTATGGCATAGTGTTCCACCCAGGTTCTTCCCAGCTCACCCCTTCCTCCCACCGGACTTTGTCTAAACCTGAAGGCCAGGCTCTCCCAGCACAGCTCGCCTCTCCCGGGGGAGCAGCCGCTCCGAGTGCCGTGGGCTGTCACCTGCTTGAAGTTCTCTGGGGCCCGCGATGGTCAAGGGTTTTGTGGAGCTGGGAAGGGCCCCTGACTTAAGGGAAGAACCCACTGAGAAGCGGGTCCCTGTGTCCACCTGAGAGAGGCTTGGACCGCTGAGGAACAGTGGGGTCCTCTGGTGCCCATCTCCACCTTGGCGGGGCCTGAGACAACTTTCCAGCTATTGCTCTCTTCACATACCCCCAGTCACCAACAGGGGTGAGGAGAGGATCTCCCTGGTGCCTGCAGCCCGTGGGGCTTCTCCAGGGAGAGGGGACAAGACTCATGCCATGACTTGCTTTCTCTCCTAGTCCACCTTCTTGAGTCTAATGACCTCCACAGCCAGTGAAGCTGCATCCTATGAGTTCACAACCCTGACGTGTATCCCAGGGGTCATTGAAGTAAGTTGGAGTTTGCTGGACCCCAGGAGGGGCAAGGGCGTGTGCTTGTGTTTTCAATTGTGTGTTTGTCTGTCCTGAGCCGTTGCGCCCTGAAACACTGGCGCCTCCGGGGATTCTGGCTGCTGAGACCCCAGAGATGCCTGGCCCATCCTGCCACACCACTGGTCCCAGGAACAGGCCAGTGTGTGGCAGCTCTCTGGGCGCCCTGTGCTCCGCTGTCCACACCCCCCCAGCTCGGTCACTTGCTGCATGGCTGGATCCTGTTTCCCGTGAAGCTTTGGAGCCGTGTGCAGCCGGGTTCTGTGGCCCTGAGCCTCTCCCGGTGAAGCACTTTATCTGTGAAGAGCTGTTACCATCTGGGATGAGTGTTGTGGGATTGTAAAGTAGAGCTCTCCTCCAGGTGGCTCAGCTCACAGTAAGTGACGAGGCTCAGACACAGCCATGGAGGCTGGCCCAGGGGTTCAGCAGCCCCTAGCTGCAGGCTGTTGTAGGTGTCCTGGGTTCAGGCAGGCCCTGGCCAGTGGCCCATCCTCACCTTACCGTCCTCTCTTCTGCATCCTAGTACAAAGGAGCCAACATCCAGCTCTTGGACCTTCCTGGAATCATTGAAGGCGCAGCACAAGGTGCGAGCGGGGCACCCAGGGCCCGCCTTCTCGCTCAGGATGCAGGAAGCCTCACTGTTGAAGTTGGGTGTAGCTATTGGGGGTTGACGGGTGGGGCTCACAAGCCCTCACATTGCTCAGTGCTCTGGACTTAAGGGATCTGGCCCAGTACAGTCCTGAGAAACCCATCTTAAAGCCGAAGAAACTGAGGCAGCGAAATGCCTTGCCAAGGTTGCACGGCTCAGCAGACAGGCTCAAACCCTGCTTCCCCTCCCTGTGCCCCACTGCCCTGGGAGGGAGGGGCACGTCTCAGCTGGTGATCTCAGGCTGTGCTCCTAGTCTTGACCTGTGTTGTGTGGGCTTTGGTTTTTGTTGTTTTTTCAGGTTTTTGGGGTCTTTTTTGAGATGGGAACATGCCTATGGCTTCTGGTGGCAGGTGGCTGCATCCAGTATTTGCAGCGATGGTTACTAGCTGCTGGCTATTCAGCACTTGCTAAATTCTGGGCTCTGCTGACCAGTTTCCCACTTAATGCTCAGACAGCCCTGTGGCTTAGGGAGTGCCGTCATTTCCTGTCCATAGCCAGGAGGAGCGCTGGGGCAGCGAGCAAAAGGGTCTGCCTTGCCGACTATTCAGCTGCCGAGTGGCAGGCTGGGATGGAGCTGCCTGTCTGCAGCCCGCTCGGGCCGGCAGTGGGGCCTCCTCCCTCGGTGTCCAGTGCCATCTCTCCTAGTGCCTTCCCATGCCTGCTGTCACCATGGCATTGAGGTTCTGCCGGTTTGAATTGGGTAGTGGTGGTGATGATCCTCATGCCATCAGCCAGCATATGAGGGGCCTGAGGTGGTCCGGCCACCTGTGGGGAAGTGCCGACTGGAGGCAGGAGGCAGCCGGGGAGTGGATGTCACCCTCATTCTCAGAAGAGGGGGCAGGGCATAGTTGAAACCCGTAAAGCCTTGCAGCTTTGGTCCCCAATTTTGACACTGGCGAGGTGCCTGACCTCTTTGATCATCTAGTACTAATAAGGCCTGGCCTCTCCTGAAGCACTTCCTCCTGGGTGGTCTCCTGTGATCATGCTGCCCAGGTGGGCCTTCTGTCGCCCTGTTTTCTAGTCAGGGCAGACAGGTTCAGGTCCTGGCACCACACTGGCTTTGTGTTTGTTGGCAACTGATTGAGTGTCTCTAAGCCAAGCCTCAATTTTCTCATCTGTAAAATGGGCATGATAACACCAATCATATGGGGTAGTTTTGAGGATTAAGTGAGGAAATGTTCATGAAGCTCTTAGCACAGGGCCTAGGGGAGGATGTCACCCCTCCTGAGGTGGTGATAATGAATTTTCTTCTAAAACAAGTCTCCACAAGTAAGAGAGCATCTCAGTTAAAGAAAAATGCCAAAGAAATCATAGCCTGGGAGGTGGCAGATGGCAGGTCTGTAAAGGACAGGAGTCTGGGGTGCTGTGGGCTGGGTGGGGGTCACATAGGTCCTACTTATGTCACTATGTAACCATGACCCTTCTGCCTGTCCAGGGAAAGGCCGTGGCCGACAGGTGATTGCTGTGGCACGCACAGCTGACGTCGTCATCATGATGCTGGATGCCACCAAGGGAGAGGTGCAGAGGTCCGCGGGGTGGGATAGGGGGGCAGGCTGACGTGTCTGGGAAGGCCCTGGAGCTCATGGCGGACGGTCTGAGTGGTGCTGGGCCCTGTTGCATGGCAGTAGCGGCAGGACTGTCCACAGGCTGACCCCGTGCACTCTGCCTGGTGCGTCCTCTCCAGGGGGCTCGCCTCCAGCATCGGGGCTGGAGCTCGCAGCAGGAGCCCCGGCAGCATGGGCCGTCCTCGGCCAAAGCAGCATGGCCTGGCTCTAGCTCCTGCTTGCGGAGGCCCAGTGCCCTAGTCGCTGCCAGAGCCCAGCCCCAAGTAACAGAACCCTTGTTCATGCCCCGGCCTCTGCCCAGTGACTGAAGACCTGGCAATCTGCCCTGGACTAGACAGAGGGCCCAGAGGCTCCTCTGCAGCCCAGGGTTGTTGGGAAGGAAGGTCCAGGTTGCACGGGGCGTGTAGAGGCGGGTGTCGGCTGGGTGGACAGGGCTTCCTGTGTTACATGGAAGCTGCGCAGCCTGCCTCTGGGCACCTGTGAAGGCTCGTGGGGGCTCTGCCCAGGTCTCTGCTGGAGAAGGAACTGGAGTCGGTGGGCATCCGCCTCAACAAGCACAAGCCTAACATCTACTTCAAGGTAAGGCCCATCACCTGCAGGCTGCGGGGCGGGGGCGGGGGGAGATGGGGGGGGGGGGCGTGCGCTGCATCAGGCAGGAGCTGAGCCTTCATCAGCAGCTCTCGCTTCCCTTCTCCTCCAGCCCAAGAAAGGCGGTGGCATCTCCTTTAATTCGACAGTCACGCTGACCCAGTGCTCAGAAAAGCTGGTGCAGCTGATCCTGCACGAGTACAGTATCCTTCCTGACGGAGCGATGCGGGCGGGGCCTCCGGAGCCTGAGGCCCTGTGGCCCAGGGTCACAGCGGACTCCCAGGCCTCCTGATGCGCCGGCACCAAGCGGGTTCTGAGCAAGCTGCAGCCGCAGCATGGGGGCGCCTATCTCCGCCTCCTGCTCACTGAGATCCGGGCTTGTCAGACAGCCACACCCTGGGCTGGTTTCCTGGCTCCTGGACGACTGCTAGGTGCTGTGGCCAGTCACCTCTGGAAGGGCGATGCGACAGCAAGGGCAGCAGCCTCCTGGGACACGGCCTCCTGGTCTGGAGAAGCCTCAGGGAGCCCCAGGGGCCTGTGCACACCTGCTAAGTATTGTTGGGTGGATAGGCGGGCTCTGGGACTCCAGAGGACAGGACGGCAGAGGCGAAGGCGGGCTCAGCATAGGGAAAGCTCATGAGGGAACAGGGCCCCCTTCGAGGTGGCCAGGCCCTCGTCACTGGAGGTGTGCAAGCGGAGGCAGGATGCACCAGAGGAGAGTTCGCGGGGCAGGTGTGAGACCAGAGCTCTCAGCTCTCCTGGCACTGAAGCCGGCTCCTCTGAGGCGCTTGGGGGTTCTGGCAAGTAGACTCTCTTGCCCAACAGCCAAGATTTGAACTGGTGATTGAAGCTTTTACATGTGGCTTCTTTTGAAAAGAAGAATGAGGGGCTCCCCAGACTTTAAACTCTTGTAAAACCTTGCGAGCAGAGAGGGCCTCCCAGTCTGTTTTCTGATGGGCTGTCTCAGGCCCTCACCTGGCTGGGCACCCGGGCTGCTAGTGCGCACTGTGCCCTTAACCCGAGCCCCTCAGAGATCTTCAATGCAGAAGTGCTCTTCCGAGAGGATTGCTCCCCGGACGAGTTCATCGATGTGATTGTGGGCAACCGGGTGTACATGCCCTGCTTGTATGTAAGTGTACAAGCCCCGCCCCTGCCCTGTGGAGGGGCGCCTTGTCCCAGGCCACACTTCCGGAGCCTCCTTGACTCAGACGGGGGACGGGCTTCTGCGAGGCGCAGAGCTGTCTCCACCCTCCTCCCCTCTACCCACAGCTCCTTGAGTCGCACACGTCTCACTGACATGGGTTCTGGCCCAGCCTTTCCTTTTGGGGGCTCTGGCGGCCCAGTCCTTGCAGCTTTCCGCACCATTGCGTTGTGGAGGGAGGATGCTGCATCAGCCCCTAGGCCGTGGTGTGCAGAGGGAGGAGCCTCAGGCAGGGCTGTGGCTATATGGGGCCCTTTCCTGTCCTCTTGTTTCTTCCCTTCCCCATCACCCACCTCCACCTTTCAATCCCAGGTTTATAACAAAATTGACCAGATCTCGATGGAAGAAGTGGACCGCCTGGCCCGGAAACCCAACAGTGTGGTCATCAGGTGAGGCTCTGCCGTCCTTCCTGGGAGTGAGCCCATCAGTGAGGCCTCCCCGCCGCCGCCTCCGCACACAGCCCGGCAGAGGAGACCCTCCCGATTGCCGGTGACCTTAGCTCAGTCCCATCCTGAATGACATGGACAGTGTGGGTAACGTGGGGTGGGCTCTGGTTAAGAAAACGGGTTTTGTCCATCAAGGTAAGTGGTTAGGAATGGTTAAGAGTCTTCATAACGTAGTAGTTAAACTCAGCCCCCCAGAAAGCCCAGCTATAAGCCAGTGTTCCTGATACTTTGGCCGATGTGGCTTTGTCAGCCCAGAGCAGAGGGGAAAGGGAGCTGGAGTTATTAGGTGGACACAGCCACCCTTGACCGTGGCTCCCTGTCCTTGAGGGCTGGGTTCTGGGCCTCCTGCACTCGCCGATGACCATGTCACTTCTGTCATCACTGACTCGTGGCTTCCACGTTGCTGGTTTCCCAGCTCAAACAAGGTGCTCTAGCTTCACCGCGGGGCTTAGCTCACCGGGAGGAAGATGCTCAGGGACCGGGTGGGTGACTATGCAAATGGCGGGATGCAAGCGCGAGGGCCATTTCCTGGGCATTGCCAGCTGCTGCAAAGAACAGCAGAGCCAACTCCCTCCTAGAACAACTCAGCTCCTCTCCACCTCCTTATGCCCATCTGTGGGCTGTGAGAGCATCTTTCCTGCTCATCAGGCTCAGAACAGCTGCGGATGGGGCCGGAGGAGGGACAGTGGGATAGAGGCAGGAGCTAAGACAAGTAAATGACCACAACCAGCCCCACCCCGACCCCTGGCGCTGAAATCCCTGCGGGGCTCCCTGAGCATTTGGAAGCCCCTCCCACCTCTCAGGAGAAGGCCAGCTCTGGATTGCCCTCCATCCCATCACAGCCCGCGGCAGTCTCCCAGCAGGGCCCTGTGTGGACTGCAGAGAGCAGCTGTGGCCCCAGGGAGACGCTGAGCTCTGCTGGGTGGTCTGATAGCTGACTAGAGGCATTGGCGCTGAGGTCACGCTGCCACCAGCTGGAGCTCGGTGCTCACAGGCTCCAGGGGGCCGCAGGCCTTGGTGTCTGTGCCTGGCCACAGTGAGAGCAGCACTCCCTGGTCTCTGTGAGCCCACGGGGCTCCGCTGACTGCCGCCTTCCTCCCTGGCAGCTGTGGCATGAAGCTGAACCTGGACTACTTGCTTGAAATGCTTTGGGAATACTTGGCTCTGACCTGCATCTACACCAAGAAGAGAGGACGTGAGTCAAGCAGTCTCAGCCAAGAATCAGCCCCACCCTCAGGGGCTGCCACACACTGCCGGTGGCACCCAGCGCCCAGCCTGTATTGTACACATCTCCGCTTTTCTCCCATCTCAGAACTAGCACTGTCCTCTACCCCAGGCTGGTAGAGACCTCAGCCTGAGCCCTTGTGACAAAGAATGCCAAATTCTGGGACTAGTCTTGAGGGTGCCCTGGGGGCAATGAGATAGAGGCTGCTCTTTAGTTCCCCACAGCTACAGCAGTAACCCCTCCCGACTTCCCCCAACAGTGGCAGGCCCCTTGTCAAGACTGTAGGTGACTGCATGTACAAGAGCTTTTTCCATGCCCCCACCCCCTGTGCTCAAAGGGACCTAGCTCCTAAGTTCTGGCAGTTTAACTTGACCTTGACCTTGTAAGCAAGGGGAGCGTGTAGCTGTCCCTGACTGGATGCCAGCAGCTGTCACATCATGCCAGTACTTTACAGATGCTTCACAGGGCTCAGCGGGGGCTCTCATGGCTGACTGGGTTTCAGGCAGTTTGAATCCTGGACTTGGATTTATTTTGATCTGTGTTCAGGTCAAGGTTGTAGGAGATTGCATGGGGCTCTACAATGAGGGTATGCTAAATAAAGGGGGAGGCTAGCCCAAGGCTGGAGACCGGAAGGGCCTCTGTTCCCTGTGGGAAGGAACCACATAGTGTGGGGCCATGACTGGCTCACACCCACCCCGTCTCTACCTGTGCAGAGAGGCCGGACTTCACAGACGCCATCATCCTCCGGAGAGGGGCCTCCGTGGAGCATGTGGTGAGTTCCTGAGACCTGCCTGGATGAGGGGTCCATGGAGCTCTCTGTCCCCTGGGAGTAAGGTCCTGTCTGAAGTCTGGACAGGCTGCAGTGCCAGGTGCCGTGGGCAGGCCCTGCTGTTGGACCCAGGATGGTGCTGCCACAGCAGGGGGTTGTGCACGGCAGTCGGCATCTGGCTGGGACGTGGCAGCTGTCCAGGAAACCGTGGTCCTCGCTGCCCGGTGCTGTGGGCTCCTCAGAGCCACCAGGGTGTTCTGTCAAGGTGGCTATTGCCCAAGGTGTACCTGTGTCTGTTTAAGTCGTGTCTCCCCACACAGGCCTAGGACTTGGAGTTGCACCTCCCATACCCTTGGCCCCTGCTGGTTTCCGGGTCCCCATGCATCCCCAGCATGTCCTGCCCCTCCCTGCTCCTCAGCCCAGGGGGGCTTTGAATGCTTTCTTCACTCAACACAATCTGTTAAACATCAACAAAGTGGACCCAGTTCCTGCCAGAACTGGGGTCCTTTGGGGTCAACAGATGCCAGATGCCCAGTCTCAGAGCCAAGCAGTCACACAGTAGGGTGAGTAGGAAGTAGGGAGGGGTGGCACCAAGTCTACAGAGACACCAGGAGGACTCGGAGGAGGTGACCTGAGTGGGCCTGTCCACCGTGCAGGACTGACTGAAGAGCTGGGCGTAGGAGAAGCCTCCAGCGGGGGAGCAGGTGTGCAGAGGCCCTGAGGCAGGGTGCCCTTCTGTGCCTGGGGCTCTGTGGGAGGCACAGGGTCACCTCTCCCCTGGGTGTGTCTCTGTACCATCTTTCAGGGAAGGGGTTGGTACCTTGGGACGTAGAAGAGCAGGTGTTAGCCTGAGAGCTTCAGGTCACACAGCCATCTTCTTGGGCTTTTGTTTTCCTCTAGCTCAGCAATTTTCAACCTTTTCCATCTCATGGCACATAAACTAATTACTAAATTCTGCAGCACACCAAAAGATACAATTTTTGCCTATCTGACCAAAAAATAGAGTATAATTGCCCTAGCCGGTTTGCCTCAGTGGATAGAGCATCAGCCTGCGGACCAAAGGATCCCGGGTTCGATTCTCGTACCTTGGTTGCAGGCTCCGCCCTGGTCAGGGCTCGTGCAGGAGATCACCAGTCGATGTGTTTCTCTCTGTCTTCCCCTCTCTCTCTCTCACTCTCCCTAAAAACCAATGGCAATATCCTCAAGTGAGGATGAACAACAACAAAAATCATAATAAGGGTCTGATTTTGATTCATTCACACCAGACGGCTATTGTGTTGGCTGTTGTCATTTTTTTATTTGACAACTGAAGGGAAGAGGTCAGTGCCCCTGATGAAATAGTCAGGTGTTGTGTGTTTTAAAAACTCCTGCGGCACATGGGTTGAAAACCGCTGGTCTAGCTCATTTTTCCTCGGGATCTGAGCTGTTGACGGTGGGGCTGCAATCTGGTTTCACTCAGTGTTTCATTCATTCCGGGTGCCCAGCCTTAGGCCTTTGCCGCCCTGAGTTGCTGATGCAAACAGGGCCGAGTTTGGCCTTGAAAGCTCGCTTGTCAGGCAGAACAAAGCCAAGGAAACTCAAGATCCCCTTCCCCGGTTCCTGAAATCACTGCAAAGAGCTCTCTGTGGGAGTTTAGGACCTGTGGCTGCGCTGTCTCCTGCTGGGTCCCAGCGGGCCATTCACAGGTGCCCACATGAGCAGGACTTACCTGGTGTTACCTTGCACCTTGGGGGAGGCAGTTTCCTCTACCCTCAGAACCTCAGCTGCTTGCCCAAGGGGATGTGGGGTTTTAGCCACGCCTGGGAAGAAAAGCAGACAATAACAGGTGCAAAGGCCCAGAGGCAGGAGCGAACTGGGGAGTGCTGACTGTTCGCTGTCAGTGTCATGGAGTCAAAAGCTGCAGGTGAGGAGAGGCTAGGGGAGTGGGGAGGGGCTTTGAAGGCCTTGCTCCGGAGCCTGGACTTTGTCCCAGAGAGGCCTGCTCTCCAGGAGTTAGCCCCTCCTCACTCTCCTTCCCTCCTGGGACACCTACCGTCCAGGTGCCACAGAAAGTACAGAGAGCCCTGCCTGATGCTGCAACAGAGACCCATAGTGGAACCAGGTAGACACGAGCCAGGCAGCCCTGGCGTCATACCCCAGCTCCCCATACTGTCAGCCTCCCGGGGCCTTCGTAGTCCATCCAGCCCAGGCCCTGGTGCCTTCACTGAGCTGACCAAGGCCTGGCCTGCAAAGGAGTCCTGGGCCATCATGCAGGGCCCTCAGAAGTGAGAGGCGCAGGCACTCTGAGGAGCAGTAGTCTCCCATCCCAAAGGAACGTGCTCTCCCCCTTTGATGAGATGGCCGTGCATGACCTTTCACTCATCCCCAGCGCAGGAGACAAGTGCAGCTCCCCAGTGTCGGACACGCTAGGCTCGGTGAGGCCTGTGGCACAGGAGAGCCCGTGCCCCCAGAGCTCGCAGGGCCCCAGGAGAATCCCTGTGCCTATGTGCAGAGTGGCTTTGCAGACTTGGCCAGTGGGCTTACTTTCATTGTTCAGCAAACTGAATAAAACTTAAAACCCATTTGCAGGCCAGAGCTGACCTCTGGGCCATCAGATGTCATTTTCTGGTCTAGAAAACGGCGAGTGTTGGAATGGCTGTGTGATGTCTGTGGCTGTCACTGCAGCAGCCCCCTCTGCGTGGCTGTGGCATCCTCACTCACGCGGAGAAGGCTGGATCAGGGTGGCTCCTTGGGAAATGTTCTTGCAGGCGCCCCCGTCTACCTCTGTCCCCACAGAGCTGGGCTGAAGCATTTGGTCCCTGAACAGGGCCTGAAAGGCTGTGGGCACGTGGGAGGAGGGACAGTGTTGCCCCATCTTCTCCCTGGCCCACCCCCACTGCACCCACCCAGCGCCAGAGGCCATGTTTTCCAGGGAAGAGCTGGCTGCTCCCAGGCCGCCTCCTGCCTCCTGACAGCGCTGGGATTCCCATGACCTTCATTTCCACCTGGGAATGCCGACACCCACAGGCTGAGAGTGGAGGGTGGATGATGGGATGTGGGAGGCCCCGGGTCACAGCTGTGGGCGGAAGGCATAAGAGACAGTGACCAAGCACGGCGACCAGGCTGAGGTATGGTGGCCTGAAAGCATCTGTCAGGGCTGTTGTCAGGCCAGGTGGGCAGAGGGCGCTGACAGCCAGCCAGTCCCCAGCCCCTGGCAGACCTGGCCATGAGTGAGGCTGTGTGGAGGGGCAGTGTCCCTGATGAGGCCAGAGCTGTGTGAGGGCCCGCCTTGGGGATTGCTTGGTGGGATTGGATGGAATTCACTCCCTGCTGACTCTTCTGTCCTCCCACTAGTGCCACCGCATCCACCGGTCGCTTGCCAGCCAGTTCAAGTACGCGCTGGTGTGGGTGAGTGAGGGTGGGTGGCATGCCCAACATCGCCCTGGGGCAGGAGGGAGCACGGTGCCCCCACTCCTGTGCAGCGTCCCTGTGCTCCCATGTGGGACCGCATGTCTGTGTCTGCCCCAAACTGGACATAGACCTCCCCATCTTAGGACCCAGAGGTGATCAGACCGCTGGGGAGTCCGGTTGTCTGAGGCCTGTGGTGTTCGCTGCTGCTGGGATGCCCCACTTTAGACTCCGGCATTCACATCCCCACCCTCCTCTAGTAGTAGCTCCCCAGACTTGGCCTTGGTCAGGACTGACTGACGTCGCCCCTCTGCCTGTTTCCCCAGGGCACCAGCACCAAGTACAGCCCGCAGCGGGTGGGCCTGACCCACACCATGGAGCACGAAGATGTCATCCAGATTGTCAAGAAGTAGCCTGGGCCGGGCCTGGCCACCCACCTGTCTCCCTGGGGAGTCGGACCCAATGGGACACACTGAAGCCCAAACAGGAAGAATACAAATACATGTGTTCTGGGAAGGGTCTCTTAAGTCTGCTTTTTCTAGAAGTTTTTTCAGTAGACAAATAATAAAGAGTGTGTGGGACTGAGGGAGGGGGTGGGGGCCTTAGGTTGGCCTGGAGGCATTTCCCATGAGACTAGCCCCCTTGGGTGGGGCTTCTGAGTTTGGATCTCTGGGCCCGCGCCCTACACCTAGCCCTGGTTGGGCACAGAGAGCACGCTGCCCCCTTACCCAGGGCCTGCCGGCTGGTCAGTGCTGGGGTGGAGCCAGGGTCCCAGAGATGGTGTTACTGTACAGGTACTTTGGCTCCTCTGCTCCTGCAGCTTTTCTGGTACCCAAGAAGGAGCCTCCCAGGGCAAAAACCCTTCCCCCCTTTTGTCCCCCGGCTGCCCAGTGATGGAAACTAGAGTCAGTGGGTTTAAAGACCCGGTTATGCCCTCCACAGCCTGCCAGGTCCTGAAGGGCCACCCCTCCTGGGCAGCCCAGGCCCTGTGCAGACAGCTGGGGGACGTTGGGGTTTGGGGTATTTTCTCTCAGCCCTCTGATCTCGATCTCGGCGCTCTGGAATAAAGGATGAGGACACTTCCTGTTCAGAGTGAGGTCAACTTTGTACGTTTTCTGAACTCAGGCCAGGTTTGGTCCGTGGGCAGCAATGAGCCTAATGATCACACCGGCTCAAGCTGGGGAGAATGTGGGGACCCCAGGATGGGCTGCGTCCTGGGGACCAGGCCTGGCTGCAGAGGTGGGCAGCAACTCAGAAGCCCTTATGTGTCCTTCCCCAGGGAAGCCAGTAGCCTTTGCCATGGAAGGTGGGCTGGAGGGTCTTGGCATGGTGCCAAGGAGGGGCAGCAGGTGTTCTCAGCCCTGGGTGTGCCAGGGCCTGTGCAGGGCCCTCCCAGCAGCCTGTCCCCGGGCAGTGGCCTGCTGCGCACTGCACAGCTCGTGAGCGGAGGTGGGATGTGAACCGCAGGCTAAGATGCCTGAGCCGTGGAGAAGGCTTCCTGGAGAAAGTGCCTCTTGGAGTGAAGGGTAACAGGTCTTGTGAGGCTGCCAGGGCTGGGCCTGCAGGAGGGGTAGGAGCTCCCCGGGGGCCTCTGGGCCAGGCTGGAGTGGCGTAGGCCTGCTGCCCAGCTCTCCAGGCTGTTCTTGGATCCTGTCAGCTGCTCAGCCTCTTCCAGAGACAAAACAGGAATAATGGACGTCATTAAACATACATGCAGCCCAGGCGGTAGGCGCGGTGGGCCGGGCCTCTTGTTCCCCCTCCCCCACGACACTGAGCTGCTCCTCTGGGCCAGCCGAGCTGGTGCGGCAACCACAGGACCCTCGCTAGGCGGCATGCAGGCCCGGAGCAGGCCTCGGGACCCAGGTAAGGCAACCCTGGCCTGGACCCTTGGGGTCTGCCTCTAGCCCTCACCCTCACGTTTGCAGGAGGGAAGGGGCTTATGAGGTCCTTCTCTGGGCCTGTTTCTTCGTTTATAAGATGGGCATGATGTCCACGCAGCCCCCTGTTGGCATCACCGAGACAGCTCAGTGGTGTCGCTCAGCCCCCTTGCCAGCCGCCACAGGCCTGGCCATGGGGTCCTCAGTGAGGTGTCTGCTGGGTGAAGGCTCTGCCACTTCCTGCCTTACAGGCAGGGGCGGGCCTGGGCTCACAAGGCATCAGGCCTAGGCCGATGCTGTCCCCCAAGCTGGCTGAGGGCCATGAGACCAGAGGCCTGGGGTCAGAGCGGTGGCGTCGGGCTCCAGGGGCGCTCTTGTTTCCTGGACTGGCTCTGTGCTCACACTTCAGGGCTGCCCGTGCCCTGTCAGCCCTCGGCCTTGGATCGGTGGCTGGCGTGGTTATGCCGTCTCTGCCTGAGAGAGCCAGAGGCCTGCTGCTGTGCTCACACACACACACACACACACCCCCGCCAGCACCTCCCAAAGGTCCCTGTCCTCCTGCCAGGTGAACTCCAAGGGGCCTGCCCCTGCCTGCCACCTGTTCCCATCTCTCCCATGCCCTGAGCCTTCTGTGTGGGGAGGCTCTGGCCAGACGCTTGGTTGTCTTTGTGAAGGTCAACAGTGCTTCCTTCCAAGGCCGTTGCTGGGCCCCCGGCTGCCGCTGGGCCACAGGCCGCACTCCCAGAGGTGACCCTCCTGCAGCTTTAGAGTCGGGCGAAGGAGCCCAGGTGTGTGTGTCCACGCCCCTCCGCTCCAGCCCAGCCCTCACAGGTCCTCCTCAGAACCGTTGGGCAGGAAACCCAAAGCTCATCTGTCCTGAGATCCCGCCCTGCCCAGGAGAGCTGCTGGGGGGCGTGCACCCCGGGGGCGGGTGTCGCTCCCCAGCACTGCCTGCCTCAGTGTTCCCCTCGGCAGCTCTTCCAACCTGCTCAGCTCCCCTTGGGCCCTGGCCAGAAACCGCATCTCCAGACCCCCATTTACACCCTTTGCCCTCCTTGACAGAGAGCACCTCCTCGTGCCACACCTCAGTCACAACCGCCACCTCCCTCCTGCACCTGTTCTCGTAAAAAAAAATTTTTTTTTACTCATTTCAGACAGGAAGGGAGAGGGAGAGAGAGAGAAACATCCATGATGAGAGAGAAGCATTGATCAGCAACCTGGGCATGTGCCCTGACAGGGAATCGAACCGTGACCTCCTGGTTCATAGGTCAATGCTCAACCCCTGAGCCACTCCAGCTGGGCTGGATCTGTTCTCTTGCTTTGCTAACTACAGGTGACCCTTGAAAGGCACAGGCTTGAACTGCATAGGTCCACTTGTCAATAAATATATTGGAAAAAATTTGGAGATTTGCAACAATTTGAAAAAATAGACAAACCTTATAATTTTCTTAATAAAATTTCCCTTTCTCTAGCCTACTTCATTGTAATAACCTATACTAATAAAAGGGTAATATGCTAATTAGACCAGGAGACCAGCCGGGGAGGGCAGTTACGGGCCATGAGGCTGGTGGGGGGAGCAGTTGGGGGCGAGCAGGCCAGCATGCAGAGTGGTTAGGAGCGAGCAGGCAGGCAGGCAGGCAGGTGAGCCATCAGGAGCCAGTGGTCCCGGATTGTGAGAGGGATGTCCGACTGCTGGTTTAAGCCCGATCCCACAGGTCCCAGATTGGAGAGGGTGCAGGCCTGGTTGAGGAACACCGCCCTCCTGTGCACGAATTTTGTGCACCGGGCCACTAGTACAGTATGTAATACATATAACATACAAAATATGTTCATTGACAGTTTATGTTATCAAGAAAGCTTCCAGTCAAGACTAAGCTATTAGTAGTTAAGTTTTGGGGGAGTCAGAAGTTGCACATGGGTTTTCTACTGCACTCCGGCCCGTGCTTTGTTCCAGGGACAGCTATAATCCAGGCCCATTTGCTCAGGCTGCTGGACACAGAACCACACACTGGGCAGCTTAAACAGTTATTGGGAGCTCCACTCGACTGTGACCCCCGCCTCCCCTGGCAGCCAGCCCTGTGCCTGGCACAGAACTTTGCTTCCTCGCAGTTCCGGAGGGTAGAAGTCCAAGATCAAGTCATCAGCAGGGCTGGTTTCTCTGGTGGCAGCTCCCTTCTCTGGCAGCTTCGTCCTATATAGTCTCAGGACCAGAATCTGAGGCCCCTTCTTGCTGTTCCTCTCTTAGGTGGTCTCACCCCCCCATCTCTAGCCTCCATCTCACCCCATCTGTGGGTCCAAACTGCCCTCTTGACTCCCCACCTGGACATCCCATAGTCACCCCCAAACCTCCTTGTCCCAGGCCAAACCTGTCAGGCTTCCATACCACCCACCTTGCCTCAGAGAATGATTCCCCGGTCCATTCAGCTGCACCAAGCCAACCCCAAGGGACCCAGGTTCCACCCTCATGCCAGCCCCACACGGCCCCTCACTGAATGCATCCATGGTACTGTCACCGCTGTCCCAGACCAAGCCACTGTCCTCTCCTGCCTCCACTGTGCATCCTCCTCCACACAGCAGCTCAAGAGCTTTTTCCAGAACACCTTCCAAAAGCAATGTGAGGCCATGGTTGAGAACATGGACCAATTCCATTTCCAGCTGTGTGGCCTCAGACAACTCCAGGCCTGGGCCTGTTCCATCATCTGTAGAGTGGGGAGGAGAATAGTCCCTGCTTCCTGAGGCCATCCGGGGGGAATAAGCAGTGTGCGGCCCAGTGGTTCCCAGCACAGGCTCCATTGCTTTCTCGCTGGGCTCTGGGCTGAGTGACCAAACCTCTTCAAGAACGAGCCCTTCATCTATAAAATGGGAGCAGCAGCTCCCCTGTTACACACTGTGAGAATCTAGGGAGCTATCGGAAAGCAGTCAGCACTGAGCCTGCACATAGTAAAACTTGGGAGTGTTGATTATTTTCATTATTGTCAAATGCAAGTCTTGTCACAATACTCCTGACAGTGTTAAACCTCGCCATGACTCCCCATGCTGCAGGGCTGGAGACCAGGGCTCTGCCCCAGCCTCCACAGCCTCATGGGCCAGGCCTCCCTGCCAGCCTGGTGCTCCCCCTGCTCGTGCCCGATCACCGCTCCTCACCACCTGGCCTTTGCACAGACTGTTCCATCTGCTGGGCACTTCCTTTCCATTTGATTAGCTCCTCTCAGCCTTCAGATCGCGGCTCAGGGTCCTCACCCTGGAGAACCTCCCTGGCCTTCCAGTGCAGGGTCACCTGCGTGCAGCCTGGCCATCACAGCTCTCTCACACTGCAGCCTCCCCCTTTGCTTCAAGCCCCCGTGCCATGGGAGCTCCACTTGACTGTGACCCCCCCCACCCCCCCACCCCCGGCACATAAGTGCACAGACAATACTTGAGGGATGAATGATACTTGTTCCCTGTCACCCCTCTGTGCTTGTTGCGAGGGCTGGGAGCCTGAGGGAGGAAGGGTTCTGAATCCACCCGAGAAGGGGCAGCCCCAGTGGACTGGGGGCACTGCCTGGAGGCAAGTCTTGGCCCCAAAGACCAGAAAGGGTCTATGTGGGCAGCACGGCTGGCATGGATCAGTGGTTGAAACTGACCTATGAACCAGGAGGTCATGGTTCGAT